GGGGTTCCACTCCACCTCTCGGCGGCTCAAAGGGGCCCTGAGGGGTGGGGGGGCCTCAGAACGAGGGGCCTCAGGCAGCACAGGTTCAGGTTCCACCCGGGGACCCCTTCCCAGACATGCGACGTCCAGATTTTTCCAGCGCGCGGTCCCTGGAAGTCCCGACCCTTTCCCCAGGAGCCCGGCGAGGGCTCCTGGAGGACGGAAACTGCCGAAAACTTCCCGTTGTGATTCGTTTACGACGCGAGCATGTCTCTCGGGGCCCCATCCTTCAGGCCAGGAGGAGGAGGAGGAGGAGGAGGAGGAGGAGGAGGAGGCCACCGTTGGGCCGCCGAGCTTCGCTTCCCCACGCCGGGCGCGTGCCGTTCGCCGCCCGCTGGGCCTCCGCGCCGAGCGCGCGGCTCTCGCGAGGGGGCCATCGCCGCCGTCGCCCCATGGGGAGGAGGGCTCGGTGCTCGGAGAAGGGGAGCACAGCCCTCCGATCGGAGGGCACCAACTATACACCAACACCGATCCTGGCCCAGGACCACCCTGGGCCCAGGATCGGTGTCTATGCCTTCTTGCGCAGGGCAGGAGGGCGTGTACACCGATCCTGGGCCCAGGGTGATCCTGGCCAGGATCGGTGTTGGTGTATAGTTGGTGCCTTCCTATCCGAGGCAGGAATTTACTTTTTTGGTCTGCGGGTCGAGAGCGAGCCTCTTCCGTTCAAGAGCTAGGCGGGCCGCGCAGAGCACCAATTGGGGAGACAGGGCGCGGGCGGGCGGGGCCTCAGGCGGCCGGAGGAGGCAGGAACTTACGCGTGGCCACCGCCTGGAGGATCAATTTTCGGGGACCTCGGCAGGCGGTGGATATGGATATCTTCTGGCCCCCGGGGGCCAAGACATGTCCATATGCACCGCCCGCTGGGGCACCACGACGTCGGTTCCCAGGCGGTGGACATGGACAACTTCCCGCCTCGCAAACCCTGGCCCCCAGACTCCCAGACCCCCTCGAGTCATGGAGAAATCACGACGGGCGTTTTGTTAGTTGTTGCTATTTTCGGCCTCTGGGGGCCCTCACTGGGCCTCGGGACCGTTCAACAAAACGACTCACGATAACAAAAGCCGGCTCCGGGGAGTGGGTCGAGGCTTCTGGGGGTCGACCGTATGAACAAACCATGACGTCGGGGGTCTGGGATCGAGGACGCGCGTGGCATGGAGCAACTCTGGCGCGTGGCGTGGAGACGGGTGGCGCTCCCCTGCAGAGTCGGCGTGCCACGCCGCCACATGCGGCGGCAACGGCCCCACGTCTCGGGGAGAGCGCGTGGCTCCGGCGCCCGCGCGCCAGACCCACGGATCCGTGCAGGCGGGGTCGGAGGATCGAGCCGCATCGCCGCTGTGTCGGCGGTGCGGCTCGGCGTGGACCGCTGTGGAGCCTGAAGTTCTCCACGCCAGAGGCGGCGATGCAGCGCCGACGTCTCCGATGCGTCGCCGAGGCATCGGCGGTGCATTTGGCGATGCGGCGCGATCCGCCGACCCCATCTGCTCGGACCCCATCTGGGAGGCCTCCAAACGACAGCTCGGCTCGAACAGACCCTCGACCCTCGGAGTCGCCTCCGGGGGGGGCTGAGGGGGGCCGGCGACGCGGGCGAGGACGAGGAGGACGAGCTCTTCGCCACAAACGGACACGTTCGACGACGACGACGACGACGACGGCGGCGGCCACGACCACGACCACGACCACGACCACGACCACGACCACGACGACGACGACGACGACGCCGACGACGACGACGACCACGACGGCGGCGGCGGCGGCGACGACGACGAGTTGGCCGCGGGGCCCGCGGCGCGCGAGGTGGCGCCCATGGCGGCCACGGGGGTCGTGATGCAGCCGCCCGCCGGCTACGTGCCCCCCGCGGGGGCGAAGAAGCCGCAGGTGGGCGCCCGCTCTGCCCTCGGGGGGGGGAGGGGGGGGCGGAGTGATCAAGCAGCGGCGAAGCGTCCTGGCGTGCCTGTAGGCCTAGCAAACAATGTTCGAAGAACCTTGTACGGCGTACACGAAATATCCTTAGAGCATTTCTGGCTGGGACTGTCTTGTCTTAGCACATCGGGAGTATGTTCTGACAGCATTGTTTTTGTTCTTAGAGCATTTTTGGGTTCTAAGAACATTTCGTTGTAGGCCTCTAGGGATGCCCGGACGGTCGGTCCCTGCTCAAAGTTAGGGGAACGAAAAACGACATAAACTTACAAACTCGGAGGTCCGCGCGGATTTCTCGGATCCGCGCTGGACCCCCCTGGCGGCGCCTCCGGCGCCGCCCCTTGCGCGCTCCGCGCGCCAGGGAGGGTGGGTGTCCAGCGCGGATCCGAGAAATCCGCGCGGACCTTCGAGTTTGCAAGTTTCTGTAATTCTTCGTTCCCCGAGGAGTGGGCACGGAGGCAACGGGGACGAAGTCCAACAGCAGTTCTCGGTCATCTCGAACAGGACACGCAGTCGGCGTCGTGACGGACCATGTACATTTCGAGCCAAAGAAGCGCCCGTGCAACAGCGGCCGCTGTCGGTTTTGGACTGGATTTGCTGTTGGGCAACGTCCCCATGTTTCCGCACTGGGCGTCCAAAAGCTCGTCCCGCTCAGAGGTTCCTTCCAGCATGCCCGGCAGCAGCTCCTGTCCGTGTTTGGATCATCGGGGGGCGTGCAGGCGGGTGGGGGTGAGGGCTGGGGGGGAGGGTCAGCACCATGGCCGAGGCCATGAAATTTCCAAGACTTCATGTCTCTCTTGGAGCCGTCTTGGGCCATCTTAGATGCTCTCACCGCTCGCGGGGCGCCCCGTCCAGGTCCAAGGGAGGGGGTAGGAGGAGGGGTCAAGACAGCCCCTACATAGCAAGTCGTCTAGCTCACTCCCAACCGCCCTCCCAACACATAAGTAACACCCGAGCGTGAGCATGCTCAGCGGTCGTCTTTGGATGGGCAGCTACTGGCAACCCAAACCGACCCCATGTGGGCGACGCTGGGGCGAGGTGCGCCACGCGTGCCAGGCGCGCCACGCGCGCCAGGCACCCCTGGGGCCCTGAGCGAGCCAGGCACGCCTGGTGCGCCAGATGCGCCGCGTGCTCCGCGTGCGTCAGGTGCCGTATACTCCAGCCTCGCCAGGTGCGCCACGTTCGGGGCACGTGCAGAGTGTGTCAGGTGCCCCTGCGCACGTGACAGCACACATTGGGAAACAGGCCCCCACCATCCTTGCGAAACCAATGCCCATCATTGTGTTTGGTGGGCCTGCGCACAGCAGGCCATACGACACCACCTCCGCCGTTCCTGTCAAAAACCACTTGACAGTGATCTCGGGGTGACCTCGCATAACCAGATTTAGCCGCGAGGTGCATTTTGTATTGCTTTCTGTTAGGGATGGTAGCCCTGCGCACATCAGGCAATATGCTGACACCCCCGCCGTCCCGGTTAAAAACAACACAAAGTGCTCGCGGGCCTCACGAGCGTGACTCAAGATTTTGCCTCAAAGTTTACTTTGTATTGTTTTGGTGGCAGGGATGGTGGGGGGGGGGGGGGGCGCATCGGGTTGGCCGCGCATGCTCCAAATTTGGAGGCAGAGTGCGTTTTGTTTTTTTTGACAGGGATGGCGGTGGGGGATCCGCATGGAGTCCTCGTGGTTCTTGCTTGGCTGCCTGTCGCCTGGGGGAGGGGGTGTGTATTCTGCGCCCAGAGGGGTGGTGAGCTTCCCAAGACTTCAGTCCCCCTAGTCTTCTTTCCATGCGTTCCTTTGTCCCTCTCGTCCGCACACATGCCTCGGACCCCGGTGCCGTCCCCTCCTTCCGTTTTTCCTCCTCCTCCTCGCTTCTGGCAAGAAGCGGAAGCTAGCTGCTAGCGAGGGCAGCGGGCGCTGGTAGGGGAGTGAGGTTCATGGTTGACGCCCTTGGACCACTCGCTGGGACTGGCTCTCTCGACAGATGGGGTTCAGCTTCAGGTAGCGCTGTCGGGGCCGCACCCGCTGGCGCATCTGCCACTACTGCTGCTCCCCCCTCCCCATCCTCACCTCTGGCTCATCAGGATGAACCCCCGCACGACTGGAGATAGGGTCCAGCCAGCAAGTCTTGGCATTGCAGCCAGTTCTAGAGACGCACCTTGAAAGATCGGCTACCAGTTGAGCCATGGAGAGTGCTTAGCAATTCCTTCCAAGCACTTGACCCCACTGTGCAGAGCCACACTCTGTACGCGACAGAAGATGTCCAATCCATCTGTGGAGTATGCAGTAAACGCGGGTATCTTTCGCACGGTCTCCTCGCAGTGGGATCGGATGACACCTGCAAACGCAGGATGGAAACGGACCACCGTGCTGGCAAGTGGTCTTGGGCACAGCGAAGGCTGGAGGGGGTTGGCACGGAGGGTTGGCTGGATTGTTGAGGGTTGGCTGTGGGGGTTATCGCTACAGTGGAGGTTTTCACCATCGTGACATCTACACGAAACTTCGCGCGATTTGAAGCGATTGTGCCGAACATCTGTCCCAAATTCCCCTCGAAGTCCTAGATCATGCTCCGATTCGTCCTCCTACTGCGACCTCCTACTTGCTCGCTGTCCTCATCTTGCTACGTACTCCTCATTCTCCTGGAGCTCTTTTTCCCTCCTCATCCTATTCTTTTTCTGTTCTCCCTCACCAGTCCGCGGGATCGAGACATCGAGCTTAACGGCGCCCATGCGCATTGGGCTGGCACGCATGAGGCCCCACAGTTTCGATTCCGCAAAGGGAGCATCACGCGCGGGGTTTCGGACACACACACACGTCTCGCACGAGTTGCACAGATCAGCTGTTGTCATAATTTATGCTGGCAGCTCGCTCTTGCGGCTGCCCGCGTCACTGCCCCTCCCCTTTTTTGTCGGCCCACGGGCTGGCGGAGGAGGAGCGCCACTTAAGGCGGACCCTGGTGCTCGCGGGGGCGAGACGAGCGCGGCCCTCCTCACAGGGTGGGGGGCTGCGACGTGTGAGGATAGGGGCTGCCCGCGTCACTGCCCCTCCCCTTTCTTTCGGGCCCAAGGGCTGACGGAGGAGGAGCGCCACTCAAGGCGCACCCCGGTGCCCGGGGGGGCGAGACGAGCGCGGCCCTCCTCACAGGGTGGGGGGCCGCGGCCGGCGCGCCCGCGGCGCACGCAGTGCACGCCCCGAGGACGCACGCGCCTGCTCCCGCCGTTGCCCTCTCCTCCGTCCCGGCCTCCCCCTCGTGTCTGCTGCCCCCGTGCTCCCTGCCTCCCTCGCCTCGTGCTCTTGCTCCTCCTCCTCGCCCTCCCCCCTCTTGCCCCCCTCCTTCCCTCCTCCTCCCTTCTCCCTCCTCCTTCTCCCTTCTCCTCCCTCCCTTTTTTTTGCCCCTCCCTCCCTCCTCCCTCCTCCCTCCTCCCTCCTCGCTCCTCCCTCCTCCCCCCTCCTCTCGTGCTCTCGCTGTTCCCCCCCCCCTCGGCCGGCGCGGCCCTCGCGCGGCCTGGGCGCCGCGGCCCGCGGCCGGCTTAGCAGGCCTCCCCGCCGCGGCCCCGGCGGGCCTCCCCTCGTCTCCTCCCTCCCTCCGCCGGCTTTCCTCCCTCGTCTCCTCCTCCCTCCTTGCCTCCCCTCTCCCTCCTCGTCCTCCTCTTCCTCCTCCTCCTCCTCCCTCCTCCTCCTTGTCCTCCTCCTCCTCCTCCTCCTCCTCCTCTCGCTCCCGCCCTCCTCCTCCTCTCTTCCTCCCCCTCCTCGTCTTGTTCTGCCTCCTCATCCTCCTCTTCCCGTCCGCTCTCCCTTCCCCCCCCCATCCCCGCCGTCTCTCTCCAGGCTGGCGGCGGGGGCTCCAAGAACGGCGCGGGCGCCTCGGATCCCGCGAGTACGATTCCCCACCCTCGCGTCGTCGCCACCGTGGTGGTCGAACTTGGGACCACTGGGGGATTGATGATGCTTTTGTCGTTTTTTTGGCTCTTCTGGGCGCTCTGGCAGGATCTCTCGTGGCCGCGGCTGGATGAATTCCTGAAACATCGTCAGAGCGGACCCAGTGAGAGGTCGATGGGGTTGATTGCGGAACGTCCTGGTCAAGAGCACCAGTCGTTCAGCATCGGATGTGGCCGGAAAATGCGGATGATGAGGAGGAGGACGAAGATGAGAGAATGACGATGTCGATGTCGACGACGGCGACGACGACGCCGACGACGACGACGACGACGACGACGACGACGGCGGCGGCGGCGGCGGCGGCGGCGAGGGGGCAGTGTGGACAATCTGACCCCGCCTACTGGAGGATGCGGAGGTGGAGGAGGAGGAGGTGGGGGAGGAGTGAGGAGTACAAGGAAGGATGAGGAGGGAGGAGAAGGAGGAGGAGGGAGGAGGAGGGAGGAGGAAGGAGGAGGAGGAGGAGGAGGGAGGAGGGAGGAGGGAGGGGAGAGGATAAGTGGAATTGCTTGGAGAAGGCTGTGGGGAAGGAGCAGGATGAGAAGGACTATGAGAGATGAGCGGGAGAAGGCAGGAGGGGGAGTGACACCGACCCACGATCGGGATCGACTGCTCTATATATGGTCCCAGGCTCCGGGCCCACGGGCCCCCCCCCTCCCCCCCAGATGGTATGGTCCCAGGATTCCTCGGGCGCCCCCCCCCCCAGATGGTATGGTCCCAGAGACGACGACGACGACGCGACGACGACGACGACGACGACGACGACGACCACGACGACGACGACGGCTGCGGCGGTGACGACGCCGGCGGCGGCGGCGACGACGACGACGATGACGACGATGACGACGGCGACGACGACGATGACGACGACGACGACGACGACGAGGACGACGAGGACGACAAGGACGACGACGACGACGACGACGACGACGACGACCTCTGAACCACCACCGCACCACACCACATCCACAGGGGGGGGGGGAGGGGGGCACCGCAGCGCAGCACCACGCCACGCCCACCTCTGAACCACCACAGCACCACACCACATCCACAGGGGGGGGGGGAACCGCAGCGCAGCACCACGCCACGCCCACAGGGGGGGGCGGGGGGACCATCGCGCGGGGGGGGGGGGGGCCCAATGGCATCAGCATTGGGGGGGGCGGGGGGGCCCAAGCCCTGGACCATAGATGCAGGCATGGGCTTCGGCATCGGTACCTCGGCAGTGTCTGCTCGGAGCGGCTTCACACCTCACCCCCCAGGGACGGCCCTGGAGAGGCATGGTGGTGCTGTTCAGACTCCCGCTGCGAGCCGCATACAGTGCCGTGCTCCGCGTGCGGATCATGTATTCAAAATGCAGGGGTTTTGTATTAAAAACAACGATGAGTTTATGCATGCATTTATTCATAAGTTAATCATGTATTTAAAACAAATCCCATATAAAAAAACATGTATTAAAACCTGCCCTGTATGCCTCGGCCCGCGGCAGTGTGGAGCAGCACCCCCCTGCTGCCCGGCGCGCCGAGGCAGGCCCAGCCCGCGGGGCGGGCCACGGCGGGCCGCGACCGCCGTGAAGCCTTCGCCCCGCGTGCGAGGGCCTGCTCGTCCCAGCCCC